CCGGCGTGGCCTCTGGCTGCCCGCTGTACTCCTCGCCCCAGTCGATGGGGATGCCCTCGCCCAGGAGGTGCAGGTTGGGATCGCTGTTGTGCATGACCATGCTGTCGCGGTACAGGTTGTGCTTCCGCTGCACGGCCGCCTCCTTCACAGCTGGGGGCACCGAGAGAGATGTCAGATGGGCTGTGGGCATGGGGCAGCGCCCGCTGCGCTCGGGACACCTCTCCCAGCCCCTGCCTTGGGCGTAGGGCGCAGGGAGAGGTGTCTGGAGCCGGGTGGAGGGCTCAGCATTCCACCCACTGCTCAGCCCTGCCAGCGGGAAGGCCAGGTGGGAAAGCTGCTCCTGGTACAGCCCCCAGCACTCTGCACAGGGTCACCCCCTTCTCATACTCTCATACAGACCCCAACACCCTGCACAGGGTCACCCCCTCCTCACACAGCCCCCAGCACCCTGCATGGGGTCACCCCCTCCTCCTATGGTCCCCAGCACCCTGCACAGGGTCACCGCTCCTCGTACAGCCCCCAGCATCCTGCTTGGGGTCACCCTCTCCTCCTATGGTCCCCAGCACCCACCATGGGCCCTCCAGGTGCTGCTAAGCCCAGGCTCGGCTTACACTGATGCCACCCAGCACCCACCACCCACTCCAGGGTGCTGGAGCCCACCCAGGGCTCAGAGCTGAGTGGGCCCAGGCTCCCCAGCGCCGTGGGACCCTACCTTGCATGATGTCTTTCATCACCGACTGTAGCACGACCTCCTCGTAAGTGTTCTCCACCAGGATGAAGCTGGCAAAGTCCTCAAAGATCAGCTCCTGAAACTTGGCTAACTCCTGCCACGGGGGAGAGGTCGCTCAGCCCAGGGGCATGGCAGGGAGGAATGCTCCAGCCCCTCTGCGGGGGGGGTGGTCCTTGCCCCCCCACCCCAAACTTTAGCCTCTTACCCCCTTGCAGGTCGGCGCCAGCTTTTTCAGCAGGAAGGGGATGGTGATCTGCAGCAGGGCCTCCCTGAAGAACTTCTTCCGCACGGTGCTGCTGTCATAGTCGTATTTCTGCAGGGTGAGCAAGAGGGCAGCCCCGGGTCAACGAGGGCTGTGGGCTGCGGGGCTGACAGCTCCCCTGCCCGCAGGCACAAGCCCCTCCGGTTTGGCCCCCCACCCCATTTGCACGGGCGTGAGCAGGTTCCTCTGTCCCTCGCATCCTTCCCTCCAGCCGGTTCCTGGGGTGCCTGAGCCTGGGTGGGAGCTAGCTCCTCCATCGCTGTCTGCAGAAGGGCTTTTGGGCCAGTCTGAACCCTGGGTGGCTTTTACAGTGATGCATGTGGTCAGAGGAGACCTGGCTCCTCCAGGTGATTTCCCACTCGCCTGCCCCACATCCCAGCAAAATGCATGAAAATCTCAATATAAAGAAGTATTTCCCCAGAAGGCTTTTTTTAAAATTGGTAAGGTCACTCCTGGCCTCTTCCCCAGGCTGCTGGCCCTTGGAACAAGGCCACTGAAGGCCACCGACGGCCCCAACCCACCACCCCTCACCTTGAGCACCCTCTCGAGGATGCGCTGGATGGACTTGCACAAGTCGTCTTTGCCCTGCAGCTTCCCCAGCTCCTGATGGAGCAGCGTCTCAAACGTGTACACGGCATCGTCCATTTGCTGTGAGCAGAGGCAGACGGTCAGCACGACCATGGGGGTGGGCAGGGGGCTCTTTTGGGGCACTGCCACACCAAGACGAGCCTTCACACTGGTAAGGTCCCCAGCATCTCAGCGTGGCATCCACAGGCTCCACCCCAAGGACCAAGGGTGCTGGGGGAGGAGGGTGCCCAAAGGTGGTTTGCACCCCCCACTTCTACACCGTGCTCCAGGTTTGGCTGGATCAGACCCCAAAATTGGGCTACTGGCCTTGCTGGTGCCAGTGGGCTCAGTGGCGAAGGGGCAGCTGTGCCACGCTGCCCAAGCCTGGGTGCTGAGTCCACGTTGTAAGGGTGCCCCACGCTGCTTCCCACCCGTGGGCTCCCTCCCTGCTTGGGCTCCAGACCAAAGGGGATGGCCAGATCCATCACACACCCTTAGCTGGGTGCCAATGACACAAAGGTCCCTGAGACGGGACAGACATCCTGGCCAAATCCCTGCCTGGGTTGGAGCAGCCTGGGTTCCGCGCTCTGCCTCCGCTCCCCAGCCCTCTGCGCTCAGCCCTGGGGGGAAACGGGAGGACCCCGGTCCCCATCCCACCTGTCTCATGTGGATCTGGGCCCTCTGCTTGAAGACTGACGTGCTGGAGACATCGAATCGCTGCTGAAGGCCCTCCAATTTCAGCTGGTCCATCTTCTCATAGCACGACTGCATCTTGACGGGGTGGAAGGCCAGGTGGGAAAGCTTCTCCATGTACTGGGGATAAAGCCAAGCTCAGCAGGGCAGGACGGCCTTTCCGTGCACTCGGGGCTGGGACATGCCACCCCACACCAGGCACGGCAGCCTGCACCACCACACGGGCTTCATCTCCACATATTTTCTCAGCCCAGTGCCATCCGCACCAGGGACGCAGCAGGACTGGCCCTACCACCCCCAAGCCCACCGGCCAGCAAGAAGCATCGCCAGGTCTCACCTCCACCAGCTTCTCCAGGCCACCCTCGTTGACGATGTTCATGTTCATGTCCGTCACCTCCTTGAAGAACACCTCCCGCACCTCAGCAAAGCCCTGGCTTGTGGGGGTCATCAGGGCCTCCAGGATGGAGGAGATGTAGGGCTGGACGTGATTACGGACACAGACCTCCGCTTTGGGGAGGACAAATGCTGGGCAGAAAACAGGGGTAAGCATGGTGAGGCTCCTCCTCTGCCCTTCCAGCTCTGCAAATCAGGCTGTAAACCCTCCCTAGGAAGGGGGACCTGCCCCTCTCCCCAGACCCCTCCAGGAGAAGTCTCCCAGACTTGCAGGACAACGCAAGGGGTTCTTGCAAGGGGCCCTCAGGTCTGTATTGAACCTGTTCCTCCCCCACTGCCTTGATGGGGGGTCACTGCCCACCTTGTCCCCCACCTCCTGGGACAGTGCCAATGAGGACGTGCACCCTGGCCCCTGCCGCTGCTGGCATCTCCCCAAGGCTCCCCAGGCCGTGCCGGCAGGAGCCACACTGCACCCTAGGAACAGCCACACCTTGGTGAAACAGTGGTGATGCCACGCCAGGAGCCGGTCACGGACACAGCTACACACATCCATGTCCACACATCTCCCCGCAGGGCTGTACCTCGGATCTTGCTGGCCAAGTGCTCCTTCGAAGTGATGATCTGGTCCATGTCCGTGCGGATGGTGCTCTCCATCTGGGGCCGCTCCTGTTCGCACTTGGCCATTGCTGCATCGTACTGGGCCTTGGTCTGCTCATAGACCATCCTATAGACGGCATCCGAGATCTGGCGAGAGAGAGATGGGACGGTCAGCTCCCCCCCACACCTCCTGCCGCCCCCACTAACCATCGCCTCCAGCACCAGACGCCTTCAGGACCTGCCGAGCCTTCGCCCATGCCCTGACCGGACCGCTCCTCGCAGCCTGGCAGTAGGTTTTCCACACCAGCTACCTCCCAGCTGGGTGAGATGAAGCCCCCGCGGTGGAGAAGCTGCTTTGAAGCGATGCCCAAGGGCCACAGAACTGAGCGCTGCCTCCATCAGCCAATGATGTGCCCTACGCAGGTCTGGGGATGCTGCAGGTCTGGGGATGCTGGATGTCCAGGGATACTGGTGGTCCAGGGATGCTGGCAGTCCAGGCAGGAGAGCCCCTGACCCTGTTTGAAACCTGTGCCCTGCCCCGTTCAACCTGCCTGGGGTCTCAGGAGCCAACCCCATGTCCAGGATGGAGCCGCTCGCTGAGGCTTCACGCTCACTTTGCAGCCAAACGCCACGATTTCGGGGCTGGCAGGAGGCAGAGCCGTCGTCCCCCACCCCTCGGGTTTCCCAGCTTTGCAGCTAAGACCGCAGCTACTGAAAAAGCAGTGTTTGTGCATTTTTAGGCTGCTCCAGTGGCACATTATTAGCCTGGTGGTAATTATCTATCGGCTTTTAAGGTTTTAACAGGCAGTTTTGAAGAGCCCTCGGACTTTCGCAAGGGTTTGGGCTGGATTTAGCCTGTGCTGCTCTAAAAATGGCTCGCTAAATATAGCCAGGATAGGCTTCACTCCGGGGCTGGGCTTCCTCCTGTTTGCTTCCCTCGCCCCAGGGACGAGGCAGCGCAGGCAGGGATGGGCAGGGCTGCTCGCAGAGGCACAACAAGGAGCTTTAAAAAGCTGCAGTGGAGAATAAGGACGGCTTCTTTGGCAGAGGCTGGGAGAGGGGGTGACGCGGGGGGTGGCGCTGGCTCTGACAGGCAGGAAAGCTGGTGGGCACCGAGCCTGGCAAGGAAGGGAGGTGGCAGCGCGGCCCCCAGAGCAGAGGCAGGGGGAGGGCAGGCGACGATGACCCCCCACGGCAGCCCCAGCCCCACACCTGGATCCAGGTCCGCTGGCGCTCCTGAGCCTTGCCCTTCAGCCGGGGGCCGATGGTGGTCCTCAGCTCGGGGAGCAGCTCCTCCATCACCAGGTTGCTCAGGACCTGCGAAGGCAGGAGGCTTTGGGGACCCTGCTCAGCCCGCACCCCCCCACCCCAGCGTGGGGGGCACAGGTCCTCACCTGGGTTTCGTTGCCGCACAGCATGTCCCAGGTGCCGTACTGCTCCTTTGACTGGCGGTACATGCGGACGGCGTCTGTGAAGGCTGGAGCCTCCACTTTGGAGTCCTCAGAGATCCCTGCGGGGACGGGGGGGGTGGGAACAAGTGAGCAGCCCGGCACAGGGTGCGAGGGGCAGCCCAGATGCTTGCAGCACCCCAGACCATCTTTGCAGGGGTCCCTCGCATCCCCCACACCCTCGGACCCACTCAAGGAGCCCAGGGCTCTCAGCGGGACCAGGGGATCCCATCCCAAGCCCCTGTCTCTAACTGGGCGGGGGGCAGCAGTCTCCCAGACACACCAGTGGCTGGGGGGCTCCTACTCTGTCCACAGACTGATCCCCTCTAGAGCCAGACCAAGGGCAGGGAGGCACCCAGGAGCAGGGGTTCGGCAGAAAGTGGGGGGGGGGGCTGACCCCCCGATGGTGCCATGGGGACCCCGGGACTCAGCAAGCCCCAATGGTGCATGGGGACCCGGGGGCTCAGCGAGCCCCGACGGCATGGCAGGAGCAGAGGCTCAGCAGGATGGGGGGCTCGGTGAACCCTAATGGTGCACAGGGACGCAGGTCCTCAGCAAGCCCTGAAGGCATGTCAGGAGCAGGGGTGCAGCAGGACAGGGGGCTCAGCAAGCCCCTGTGGTGCACGGGGACCCAGAGGCTCGGTGAGGCCCAAAGGCACAGCAGTATGGGGGGGCTCAGTGACCCCCAATGCTGCATGGGGCCCAGCGAGCCCACCAGCACCGCAGGACAGGGCAGCTGGGGGAGGCTGGAGGAAGGGGGGGCCCTGCAGGGAGCAGCACAGCTCGGGAGGAAGAGGAAAGCGGCCGAGAGGCATCGGGGATGAGTCAGGGCCCCGTCCCCGAGCCAGCCCTGTGGGAGGCACGCTGGGCTCCGGCCGATTCAGCTGCCCCTGAGATGTCACTGCCGTGAGTCACTGCAGCATGGCTCACGGGGCCACCGGCACGAGGGGGGCTCGGACATCACCCCCACCCTCCCGCAGCACCCATCAGGAAGAGGGGCAGGGTGCTGGGAGCTCACGGCCACGTGCCAGGAGGAGGAGATGGGGGCAGCGGACAGGCAGGACAGCCTGGGAGCCTGCTGGCACATGTCCCACACATGTCCCTGCCTCGTCCCAGCCTCTCCAGGGTCTGGCTGCAGAGGCGCCTGCCAGCTGGAGAGAAACACTCCTGGGAGCGAACCCCCCCGGCACCCCAGCTCCCCTCCCCATGCCCGGACCTCTGGCAGGAGGGAGGCGGGATGGGACCGAGCCCAGGGTGGCTGGTGGTGGCTGTGCCCCGTGGCAAAGGACCCCCTGGCAGAGCCACCCTGCTCCCAGAGAGCATCCCCGCAGCGATGACAGAGGAGGGTCACGGCACGTCCCTGGACCGCCCAGCAAGCCAGTGTCCTGGGGAGACACAGCCAGGGGTGGTTTCTCCCTTCCCAGGAGGAACAGCTCGGGGTAGTGAGCGGATCTTTTCCAACGCACACAGATTTTTCTAAGATGATTACATTTAACTCCAAGCCTAAGCAGCTTTTCCTAAGGGGCAGCTTAATATACAGGGGAAAAAAAACGCTGAGAAAGTGCAGTCTGACCCTTTCTCAGTGCTTGGTGGGAGTGGGAGCCAGAGCAGGGCTGGGCTTTCAGGGGCCAGTGCTTCTCCATCCATGGCTCCTTGCAGCTCAGCATCACCTCCGGGGTGGGACAGCCCGGTACGGGCTCCAGTCCCCCACCAGAGCTGCTACATCCTCCAGACCATGCAGAGAGCGGGGCAGGATTCACCCCCCGAGAAGCCACCTGGATCTGCCCCACCAGGGTCACTCTGGTTGAGCCCGGGGGGTACAGTGGGCTCCGGCTGCGGGGACCCGTCCCCAGCCCTGCACCCTGCCCAGGGACAAGCAAACGGGGCTGGTTGCAAGAAGCCACCGTGCCACTTCACAGGGCGAATTTAATGAGTTTGCTTCATTAATACGCAGCAAATTAAGCACTGATCTGAGCTCGCTCTGGAATGGGAAGCACCCACTCAAGCCTGGACCCTGTCCCAGAAAGGCTCCCAGGGTGATGGTGCACCATGGGATGGGAGTACCCGACGACGGAGAGAGATGCTACACCTCGACTTTTTCAAAGTGCACCTCTCTCACAGCACAGGATAATCTCCTCTTGCCGGGGGAACGGTGCTGAAGAAGAAACGTGAGTTTGAAGCCGCTTTTTGCCCGAAACACAGCTGAACGGGGCAGCCTGCCCGCAATAAGGGGCAAAAGCCAGCAGGGTGGGTGCTGCTCCAGCCCCTTATGTCACCATGCAGAGCAAGGAGCCATCTCGGAGCAGCCAAGGGCACCCAGGCTCCAGGGAAACCAGGCTGGACACCTCCTGCCTGAGGAACGATGTTGCACGTCCCTGATCCTTACAGAAGTGCTGGTGTTACAAAAATACAGTCTTAAAAAGGGAGGTGAAAATTCCCACACTAATCACAACCGGAGGCAGAAACAGAGCCTCTAATTTGGGGGGGGGGGAATTGCTCGACAACAACAAAAGAGCTTTCATGGGATTTGAAACAGTATCTCGGACCTCACAGGAGCAGTGAGGGGCAGAAACGGAGCTCGGGAGGGAAGAACCGTCTCGCAGAGAAACCCGGGCTGCAGAAATCAAGAAACCCACCAGCGCTGAGCCTTCCCTGGGCCGCTGCCCACCCCTGAAAGTTTTTTTCATCACATGCTGAGGAGGAGGAGAGGGGGGAGAGGATTTAATGGCACAAGCCGGCTGGCAGTGGGGATGGCGGAGGGGCTCACATCTCTCCTCTCTCCCACAGCAGCACCCAGCAGCCGGGGAGGGGAATTAAAGACAAATAAATTAATAAATTGGCTCTTTGTTAGTATGAGAGGTTGATTCTCCTTTTACTAGGAGCTGGTTTTGCTCGCAGTGCTCTGGCTTTGTGTGTCCAGCCAGCAAGCAGAGGGGCTCCTGGGGTGCTGAACTGCATGCAGCAATGATGCTCCAGCAGCATCCCGGGGGGATGAGCAGCTGAGGGGGGGTCACTGCACCCAGCCCCCCCACCCCCCAAGGAGCCCAGGCCCCGGGTGGGGTGCAGGGACATGCTCATCCCGATGAGCTCGGACGGCCTCAGCTCACCAACAGCACATGGATGTGTTTTGCAGCGAGGAGCACCAAAAGTAAAGGAAAGAGCAAAGCTTTCAGATTTAATCTAACATGGGAGGATGGAAACCCCAACTGAAACCCAGGCTCCGGATCCGACCCCATTTCTCTGCTCCCTAAACAGCAGCTCTGGCAAAATCGGGGCTACACACAGCTCCCAGGAGTGAAAGAAACACTAAAAAAATAGGCAGCATCGCTCTTTGCCCACTAAAAGACCCAATTTTGAGCAGATTTCAGCACTGGCACCTCCTTCCCCAGGAAACTTCTCGCCATCCAAGGCACTGCCGAGACCTGGGTCTCAGCCCAGGAGCACACAGGCCACAGCCAAGCAGGAAAATCGTGTTTTCCTGCCAGAGTATCGTTGACGTGGGAGGCAGGTCCTGCCTCTGCCCCGGTCCCTCGCAGCCCCACACCCCCTCTGCCCGCAGCCCCGGCTGCCCTTGCTCGCCGGAGCCCGGGCGGTGCCGGCGGGGCGGGGAGCAGGACCGTGGGGCTGGGAGTTTTGATGACTTTAATTACCGAATATTTTCTGCCTCGCAGTGGAAAATAGGCATCAGGGCGTCTCTTGAGCCAGGCTCTGTGCTGGCTCCTGCAAATGCTGCCTGCCCTGGTGCAGCCATCGCGCTCCTTATGGGCAGTGGGATGAAGCCAAGCACAGGGATGCACAAGGCGGCCGGATCCTTCCCACTCCCCACCCTTGCTCGGGGAGAGGATGAGATGCTCAATGATGCTCAGCAACTCCCAGCCAATTCCTCCTCTTGACCCCCCCAAATCATCCCCTTTGGCCCAAAACCCAACCCAACCACCGCAGGGTCCCCAACACCCTCTCCGGAGCAGGAGGATGACGCTCTCCCCACCCGGGAGCCCCCGTGTCCCGTCCCGCCCCCAGCATCGCTCACCGTTGTTGCAGTGTCGCACGCAGTCCTGGAAAACCGCCCGCCACTTCTCCTGCTCTTTGCCCGTCATCACGCAGAAGTAATAGTGCCGGGCGTAGGGGTGCCAGAGGATGAGGGGGAAATCCGTGGGGCACTTCAGGATGGGGGAATGCCCCGATTTAGGCGTCACGCCTGCAGGGGAGGAAGGATGCTTTGAGGAGGATATGGGGCAGGACAGGGATGAGGATGCTGCAGGGTCGGGTGTGTCCATCTCCCCCAGCAATTGGGGCTAGGGGTGCAGCAGGGGCACACGAGACCCCTCGGCTCCTTCCCAGTGCCTTTGCTGTGAGTTCTACCAAAAACATGGGGCAAAAAAAGCGCAAAGAGCCTCGCTCTTCCAAAAAGGAAATCAGAAGTGAAAATTGAAAAAAAAAAAATTAAAATAAACTCCTCCCCAGAGCTGCCGGCCTGACCCCGCTGCCGTTGTGCCCGTGCCCCAAACCAGCAAAGGGGCTCGCTGCCCTACGCGAGCTGTTTCTGCAGCTCCTGCCCCGCTCCCTGGGGGCTGCCCTGGCCTTTAGGGACCCAGGGCAGGAGGACAGTGAGTGGGGTGGTGGCCGGTCCTCCTGGGAGTCTGGGTGGAGGAGCAGGTGCTGCTGCCTTCGCCCAGGGCTCCCTGGGAAAGGGAGGCAGGAGCAGCTCGGGGCAGCTCTCACGGAGCCGCAGACACATTTTCCTTCCTTCCCCGGCAGCTGCAGCGGGACCCGAGCAGCAGACACCTCACACCGCACCCTACACCCCACAGGGGGAACGGGGCTGTTCTCCTTCCCTACAGCCCCACACCCCGAAACCACCCCTTCCCAAAGGTCCCTAGGGATGCCCACGCCCTGAAAACACCCTTTCCCAAAGGTCCCCAAGGGATGCCCAGCAGAACGAGGGCGCAGGGGACCCCGAGCATCTCTCCTCGCCCCGCAGCCACCAAGACCACTCACCAGGCAGGCTGCTGTTCACCAGCTCCAGGTACTGGTCCACGGAGGTGAGGATCTTGTAGCCAGCGCTGTTGACCAGTACGCGGGGCGGCAGGTCCCGCTCATAGGCCTGAGCAGAAAAAGATGGTCATGGATGACGGGCAGCACGGCCACGCCACCGCAGCGATGGGGTGTCCCCCTTTGAAGCTGTGCCCACCAGAAATGGGTGAAAAAGGGTGATGCCCCTCACCAGTTTGTTCTCGTAGAGGACCAAGCCGTAGTTGTGCGGGACCACAGAGAAGCGGTTCCTCCACTTCTTGTTCTCCTCGATGTACTGGAAAAGGTTGCCTGAGTAGATGACGTGGTCCTCCAGTGGGACCTGCGGGGAGGAGACACGTGGTGGGTGGCACAGGGGGGCAGGGAGGGGGCCCCTGGGTACCCCTCCATCCCGTGGCCACGGCCTGGCTCGGGGAGCTCAGCAAGGTCCGTTCGTGGTGGTTTGGGTGGGATTTTCTGCAGTAGGGCTATGCTGAGGGTCTCCAATTTCACCACTGGATTATCTCCTATAGCATTGCAAATTTTGGTGCCTGAAGGGGTGCATCTGGGTGACAACCTGGGGGTTTCCACATGCACAGCCCTAGAAGACCTCAGAGGGGCTGCTCACATGGCAGTCACACGTGGTGGTGTTCACCATTGCGGTGGTCACACCTCTGTCCCCGGCATCTCCTCCCTGGGAGACACACAAAGCTCAGCTGAGTGACCTGAGCTCTCTTGGCCGAGCAGCAGGTTGGAGCAGGGCCCTCCAGCAGCTCTTCCCAACCCCAGCTACTGCGATTTCCCTGGCTTGGGGCAGGCAGGAGCATGCGTGGTACTGCTTGGTAGTGGCCATCAACCAGAAGGCCCTGCCAGGGTACGGGTCAGAGGCAAGCTGCAGATGGCAAGAACCAAAGTCCTGCCCTAGCATGGTCTCCAGATGGGAAAAGCAAGAAGCCACCCTGTAGAGCCCAGCACCAGACGATGCTTAAATGCTCTGGACTTCATGGAGGACCACCGACAGGAACAGGCTGAGGACATCCCACGCCCCCGAGCCCACCCCGGCTGAGCAGCCCCTCACCAGCTCTCCACCGCCTTTTGGCCCGCACGCCAGCAGCATTTACGCCATCCCAAACACAGGCTGGCTGAGTGAGCCAAGAATTTGTCCCAAGAATTTTTATGATCCGAGGAACATAAACAAGAGCCGAGAGCTCTCATGAGGGCGGGAGCGTGCGGCGGCCGCCTCTCCTGCCGTGGCCACCCACCATCCACCACAGTGGCTGTCAGGAGGGACCAGCCAGGGCTTGGGTCCCACCATGCACCCAGCAGCAGGACCTTTCCCTCTCCTCTCCCTGCTCTGTCCATCTCCTGGTTCACAGGCACCCCATTGCTTTCCCCAAGCCCCCCACCACTCCCCAACCCCACACCCCCTTGGGCGGTAGGGAGGTCTGAGAGCAGCTTGGCTCAGCAAACAGGCTGACAGCACCTCGCTGCTCCCTACTGCTTTCCAAAGCCCTTGGAAGGGGGAGAAGAAAGCGGAAAGCAGGCCCTGCAGGGCCGGGGGACGGCGGGGGCGATGAGAGCCCAAACCCCAAGGCCACCAGCGGGGATGGGGACAGAAAGGTGGTGCCAGCTCTGGGAGTCCCCATCGGCATCTCACCGGGGTGGCTCATCCAAGGAGAATCAGGCCATGTAAACCAGCTTCAAAACCACTGCCCAAGGCAGACAAAGCCACACGGACCGGCTGCTAATGAAAAAAAACCTGGACCGAGCCCTGATGTGAGTCCAGGGGACCCTCGGATGGGGAATGGCTGCTCACAGCCACCGGCATCCTGGGAGCCCCGTCCCTATGGCGCAGCCGTCCCCTCCTCGCACACCCTCCTCACCTCGGGCAGGCACCGAGGCGGCACCACCCCACCCCGGCAAATATTTGGGACAGGCAGGTATGCGCCAAATTGCTAGGCTGGGCAGGGAGGAGGCCGGGGAGCACAATGCCTGCATCCCTGCCGCGGGGACAGGGAGCAATGGGGAGCGAGACCTGGGTCTGGATACGTCAGCTTTGGGGCTCGTCCGGGAGAGGCAGGAGGGGGTGTTACGAGAAGAGAGGATGCTCGGGGACTGGTTTTCAGGGGCACGTGAGGATGTCGGACCAAGGCCACGATGTGCGCTGTCCCCACCGCTGGCTGGGGACGCTTGGGCTGCTGGAGAGACCAAAGGCAGAAACATTTATTCCTTGTTCTCATCGCTGCTGCTTCTGGCTGGCATTTCAGGTGACTGAGCCACAATTCAGACCACAGTCTAGCTGTCCCCCTTTGCCCAGGAGGGCCTCCAGCCCCCGGTATCACTGCGGGAGCTGCCTCTGAGCACCACATCCCCACAGAGATGGCAAAAAATAAGGTAAAAAATAAATTAAATTAAAAAAACCCAAACGCCAGATTCCAGCTGGACCTGCCCCAGGACAGGGAGGATGCTATCCTGCATCTTCTTGACATCCACAACTTTTTTTGGCATATTTGGGGAGCGCAAAGCCCAGCTGGAGGAGATGCTCTCCCCAGCTCCTTGCAGAGCCACCCCACGGACACACAGGTCCCCGTGGTGTTTGCAGCCCTGCTACATCCCGGCCTGAGGCTCTGCCTGTGCCCTGGCAGAGGATGGGCAGCAGACGGGACATCGCGCAAGAGGAATGTGCTATTTATATACTGGTGTTTTAAAAGACTTGCACGGAGTCCCTGACCTCCCTGCCTCGCCGCCGTTCCTCAGACATTCCTGGGCTGCTTGCTGGAGCTTTTTAATGAAGCAACCAACCTTGGGAGGGAGGTACCCCCCAGGGGGCTGATGGCATCTGCCAAATTGCGAAGAACCCAAGGGACGCCTTGCCAAGGATGCCGGGCACCCGGCTCCTGCCCAGGAGCCTCCACGCCTTTATTTTGCTCAACAGACCTAGCACCCAGGCAGCTTTCAGAGGAGATGGGGCACGTCCAGGTGCCTGGGCAAGGTGTAACCTTCGTGAGTGAGCCAGAAGGACAGCCGCTGTGAGCACCCAGGGCTCAAGTCTGATCTCATGAATGCAATCTCTAGATTTCTTTAAAAAGCCTCAGACAAAAGCAGAAGCCCGTCCCCATGTGCAATTACATCTTCTCTTGCTTTCAAGGAGCACCCATAGGTCAGTGGCTCCACCGACCCGGCCAGGGAGGAACCCCAAACCCTGTCTGCCGGCGAGAAGCCCCGGCTGACGTGCATCTGCCTTTGGAGGTGGGAGGGGAGGGCAGGATCCGTCCCCGGGTGCCAGAGCCTCAAGCAACAAGGGGGGATGCTTGGAGACCTTTTGCCAGGCAGGAGACACGTGGCTGCTGGAGATCAGACTCAGAGCCACCTCCTCTTCCCCCATGGGGTCAGGGACATCTGCCAGGGGTTTCCTACCCCTCCCCGGGCTTTTGCCTGGGCTGGAGCATCGCTCGCACCCAGGAGCGGGAGGACAACAGCCTGGCATGTCCTGCTCGGGGCTTCACTGGTCTCACGAGCTCCTGCCAGCCCTGGCATCAAGCACAGGCATCCACAGGGGCTGCAGCCAAAAGCCAGCCTTGCTCCTGCTTGTTGCATGGGTTGGGAAAGAAAACCATCCCAGGGAGCCCCACGTGCCGCACGGATGGTGCACAGTGCCAGGGGATGGACTGGACCAGTGGCATGGGGGCTACATTGCACCCCGGCAGGGTGGAACGGGGAGAGGGGATGTGCCCGGGCTTTGGGGAGGACATCAGTCCGTGCTCACTGGGCACAGGGATGGAGCTCCCCGCCGGCTCCAGGCTCCTCACGCGGAGCCGGACTCTTACCTTGCGGTGGAGCAGCTGGGCCTGTGGCCCTCCGTTGCCTTCGATCTCATAGCGGACGCTGTTGAAGAGAGCTACGCCGTACTGCTCCTTGTAGCACCGGCAAAACTCCCCCAGCACCTTCCCCGTCTTCTCTGCAATGGGAGAGCACAGCCGCGTTAGGCAGGGGCTGGATTCAGGGGTCTCCTTGCTGCAGACCCCCCCAGCACCCCGCTCGGACACCTTCCCCCACCCTCCCCACCCACCCAACACCTCCAGCCTGCTGGAGCAGGCTTCGGTGTGGGGGCCACAGCTGAGCACGCTGCCCTCTGCCCTCCCCATCCAGTCCAGGGACTAATTTGGGGTCAGGATGATCTCTTTTTTTGGCCTTTCACGTTAATGCCATGGATTCCTCTCCCCAGCAGGAAATTCCTGACATTAAGCTGATTCCGGTGATGCTGACGGCTTCCCGCGCCTTGTGCGGCTCCCCGGCCCCGCTCTGACTGGCTCGACTGGCTGAGATTGGGGGGCAACCCCCCCATTCCCCCAGCCCCAAGATCACTCACACCCACCCGACCCCGCTGTGCCCCCATAAGGGCCATCCTACAGAGTGGCTGGGGGGGGGCGGGCTCTGCCGCCCGGGGTGCTCGGGGCCATGCATGCAGCAGGAAGATTCGAAGGGGAAGGGACAGCCCGGCCCCCATCACGCTCCCCATGTCATCCCCCCTCTGCAAGGTCAGGACCCACCACCAGGACCCCCGCCTCCAGACCGGGGTGAGACCGAGATGCTGGGAGAGCTTGAGCTGCCAGGTGCCCCCCTGCACCCCCCACGGGAAGAGATCCTCTCCATCCCACAGGCAGTCCCGAGGCAGCACCCTTCCCCGGCAGCCCCCCACCCCTCGATGCACGGTGGGGGGGACACTGCAAACCCACCCCCCAGCAGCAGGGACAGTGCTTTCCCAGCCCCAGGGTGGCAGGCACGGGAATCCCTTGCTCCTCCTGGGGCACTAGCCACAGTGGGGGAGCGGGGCTGTCACCCCAACTTTTGCCAGCACCCCTGCCCCATGTGCACCCTGCCCCATGTGCACCCTGCCCCATGCAGCAAACCCTGCCCCACGCAGCACCCTGCCCAATGCAGCACCCTCCCCACGTACACCCTGCCCCATGGAGCAACCCCTGCCCCATGCAGCACCCTCCACATGCAGCACCCTGCCCTCTCCCCTCCCCACCCCAGCTCCAGACCCCACAAGGGGTTCCTACACCAAAAACCCCATCACAAAGCATCACAGGTCTGGGGAGACAGCTTCCCTAGAGCTGCCTTTGGCACACGGGGCCTCTACTTTGAATTTTGCTCTCAACTTTGCCCCAGAGCCTGTGAAAAGGAAAGAATTTGAGTCGCCTCCAACTATTTCTGACGGCTCAGCCTCTGCCAGAGCGCTGGTGATGGGCGCAGGGAGGAACGATGCTGGCTATGCATCCCCAGTGCAGGAGCCAGCACGATGCTGGGGGCATGAACCCAGACAAAACAGACCCTCGTGCCAGACCCAGCACAGCTCGGCGGGAGGGAAAATCTCCAGCAGCGGCCGCCCCGGAGCCACGCTCGCAGCCAAGCCAGCCCGAAGGAGCAGCTTGCTCCAGGGTGCTGCAAATCCCTGTGGGATGAGCAGCTCCAGAGGAAAATGCTGTCCGAGGACAGCAGCTGGGGGCAGATGCTCATCCCCGAGGAGATGCTGGCACTGCCAACACCGCGACGGGAGCCAACACGGCGGGCCAGCACCTTGCTGTGCCGCGGCTGAAAATCCCTTTAAATTTAAGCAACCTTTTTCGTGGCAAAGAACGAGACGCCTGCTCGTCCCAGCAGAGAAATTCCTCACCCCCGATTTTGGCATTTTCTCCTGGAAAAGAAAGAGCTCGCAGTCACGCCGCGCTTGCATCCGCACTGCACCTCTGTTGCAACCCCCGTCTACAAAACTATGATTTTGGCCGGGGCTCTGGGCAGCGATGCTGACAGCTGAGATTTAAAAGGACATTTTGAGGTTTCATTTCCTTTCAGTTCATGGGAAAAAAAGAGCCCCCGGTCCCCGGGCAGGCGAGATGGCTTAGTCACTCATTCTTCCCTGATTAACGACGGGGCCAATTAGGAGGTTTTAAGTAAATGGAAAAGCAAAAGTCGATTACTTGCAGGCATTGAAACAAAAGATTTGCAGTCAAATATCCAAGGTGACTAAATCTCCCCCAGCTCAGCAAGCCCCTCCGGGGTGCAGAGGGGATGCTGGGGGGCCACTGACGCTCCCTGCCCTGTGCCCCTGGCTGCCCTGCCAGCCACCACGCTCAGCCCCAGGGAAGCGAGAGGGGCAGGGACCTGTGGGGGGTCAGGAGGAGGTGGCCAGCGGCGTGGCGAGGAAGTGACACAAGGTGACACCGGATTTGGCAAGATGTGGACTGCTAGCAGTGGTACAGCCGGGCTTTGCTTGAGAGCAGAGGATGGGAAGCCCACGCTGATGATGCCAGTGGGTGCCCGGACCCCGTCACACCCGTAGCAACCTGTGTGGGGCTCACGTGTCCCACATGGGAACTGGCTAAGCCACCCACTGGCTCCTTCACCAGGCTGAACAAAACCTCCTGGCAGTGCTGGGGGCTACAGAGAGCATCCCCCTCCCTGGCTGCATGACCAAGGCCACCCGTGAGCAGCCGTCCCTCTACGAGCCGCTTCGGCTGCACGTCCAGTCAAGAGCTGGAAGGGTTTGGGGACAGGTGGCAGTCCAGAGAGCTGTGTCCCCTGCCTCCTCCCAGCCCCTTGCCCGAGCTCACCCCCCGGCTGTGGCAGGGCGAGGGAGGGATGGGGCCCAGCTGGCCGCCACCCAGCCACTGCTCCATCCTGGGTGCGGGTTCAGACACCCACGGCAAAGCGCTCCGGGTGCACACGCAGGGACCTCCCAGAGTGGTGCTGGGTGTCCCCAGGCACCTGCAGACAGTGCTTTCCCAAGCCTGGTGTTTGCTCTGGGACCGCTGAGCTCCCGGCACCAACACCCTCCCGCTGCTCCGGGTGCCACCACCCTGGTCCCCGCCACAACGAGCCATGCAGAGGCACCGGTTCCCGAGCAGCCGGGGTTGCTGGGCCAGTGCAGGCTCCGGCACATCTCTCTTGTTCCTGGCAAGGCAGGGCAGGGGGAAGCCACCAGCTTTGTGGTCGCAGAGGGGTGCCAATGGCACCCACCGATGCCTGGCTCAGCAGGAGCCCCAGTGCCGGCACCTCTGATCACAGACTTCATCTGTTCCTCGGCCTCCGGGTTCCCCTCCTTCCCTCCCCAGCCATCACCATGACTAAGCCGCACGTGGCAGCTGCAGGAGGAGATAAAGAGGCTCTGCAGCAGCCAGCTTTACATGGGAGGGCAGAGAAAGGGCTCTGGGCATCCCAGCCGCCGGGCAAACCCCCAAGGCCAGGCTGGATGCGGGGCTGGGTGAGACGCAGGGAGCAAGGAGTAGGGTCCAGCTATGCCACATCATCTCCGCATCCCCAGCCATGCTCCAACCCTCCCTGCCAGGTCCCCAGGGACCCACACACCCTCCCCACCACCCACCCAAGCCAGCACCGCCACCGTGGCAACAGCAGGGCAAGCAGC